GAATACTTACATATGCATGTACATACACTAATTACTAACTGGAAATGAAGCCTACATACATATGAGTAAATACATAATGGTAATTACCCGGCAGTATGCTAAGGGGACGAGTAAGATATTACTGCAAAGCTAATGAAAGTGATTCTTTGAAATTTAGTAGCATCCTTGAAACTTTTGCATCTAATTAATTAAAAATATTTAATTTTTGTACTTTATCATTGCTTCACTTGTGATATAAGTAGCGAATGGTAACCGAAAGTAGCCATTTGGGGGATACCTAATAATGTTATTTAGTCGACAAAGCACGAACTGCTGGGCATTTAATCACTTGCCATTAAAAGCTACAAAATTTATTCGGAAGTATGAGTATAAATAAATGAATGAGTGTTTAAATTACAAATGTACTAACTATATGTATCATCATTATCGTCACCATCATACCTCACACATTTTGTGTAAATGACAAAATCACTTTAAATTAAAATTAATTTTATATAAATTCACTTGTGCATGTTTAAACAGATTTATAATGATGAGCTTGTCGATGTGTATCTGATTATGTTTAACAAATTTGTTTGCGTTTTTGAATGAATTTCACTCCGTGTGTCTGTCTGTTGAAGCGTACGTCTGTCGTTACCTGCATCTAATTTATAATGGTCTTATAATTTCTGTTGCATGACCGGCCGACTGACTAATCGCTTCTCGTCTTTAGATTAAAAAAAAAAATTAAATTAAATTACAAGTACAAATTCTCGCATAAATTATTGACAGGAAATACCATGAATATTTTTTGGGGAAAAAATTTTTCATTATTAAAAATATGATTAAAACTGATGCACATACACAAAACATTAGAAATATAAAACAGTAGGGCAAAATGTAAACAAATTCAAGATAAATTTTATTTATTAACACAACATAATTTGTTAAAAAATAATTAAATGGTCAAGTCTGTATTTTAGTCTATAGTCTAGTTTATAGTCTAGTCTGTAGTTTAGTCTATAGTCTAGTCTATAGCCTAGTCTGTAATCTAGTCAATAGTCCAAGCTTTAATCTAGTCTGTAGTCTAGTTTATAGCCTTGCTATAGTCTAGTCTAGTCTATAGACTAGTCTATCTATAGTCTAGTCTATAGTCTAGTCTATATTCTAGTCTATAGTCTACTCTATAGTCTAACCGATGGTCTAGTCTATAGTTTAGTCTATAGTTTAGTCTATAGTATATTATATAGTTTAGTCTATAGTCTAGTCTATAGTCTAGTCTATAGTCTAGTCTATAGTCTAGTCTATAGTCTAGTCTATAGTCTAGTCTGTAGTCTAGTCTATAATCTAGTCTATAGTTTAGTCTAGTCTATAGTCTAGTCTATAATCTAGTCTATAGTTTAGTCTAGTCTGTAGTCTAGTCTAAAGTCTAGTCTGTAGTCTAGTCTATAGTCTAGTCTATAGTCTAGTCTATAGTCTAAACTATAGTCCAGTCTATAGTCTAGCCTATAGTCTAGTCTATAGTCTAGTCTATAGTCTAGTCTATAGTCTAGTCTATAGACTAGTCCAGCGGTTCCCACCGATTTTTACTTCGCGGACCCCTTGAAGAACTTATTTAATTTCGCGGACCCCCATACATATTTTGATATCTTATTGTTCTAAATAATTGTCCATCCGAAAATTGACCCAGTTCAATAATCCCTAGGTCTAATAAATGTAGAGATGTCAAATCTATAAAATATTCCCGTACATTGAGAATATATAATATTTCAGATAGGTTTTCAATTGCATGTTTTGAAGATAGAATGACTTCTTTGTTGATATGTTAACATGATGTTTAATTTTATGATCGTGAGATCTTTCATGTTAATTTTTCTTCAAGGTAGCGAAAAGGTTTCTTTATCAAATATTGTCACATGTGCTTAAGGAGTCACGTTTCAAAAATTTGTTGCGATTGCAAAGGCTGAACTGAGTAAGTGAGCTAAGTTTTCGGGAAAATAATATAAGAAAGTTGGACTTCTTCTATGTTGTTGCGGAATGCGTTATCCGCATATTATATGATTTGAACTCTTTGTTAAAGTACTGTGAATTTGGAACTTAAATTTGAATTTTAAAATACCAACGAATTATTTTACTTCATGGTTTTTGGCTACATATTTACGCGAAACGCTATGGATTTTCTGATGTTAATTTAATAATATGTATTGGTCGACAAAATCAAGTTAAAATCTGTGTATCACGTCGGATTGGAATATTTATAAAGAGATGCATAAAGAGTCACCTCTGTTTTGGAAATATATAATTTTAGTCCTTTCAAACAAGAACACTTTTGCTTACAATTTGATAAACTTAAATCTGTAATAAGCTTGTCTTTGAATTGAACTTCATACTCCGGAATACCAGTATCCCTAATTTAATTGTAAGGCAGAGTATTATTTGTCTGAAATAAAAACCATAATTTCAGTACATATACAGGAAATAAAAATTACAAATCACGCAATACTTTACTTTATAAAAGTTATACAATAAATTTGTAGGGCCTAGCTTCTTTCTGATAAACAACCAAAAAAATAAAATTCAAAAAGTCACCAAAAAATTTGGGATTATTGCACAAAAATTGGAGATATTTGTACATACATATAAAAGCAGAATATTTTTTATTCATGGTTTTTTTCGTTCGTCTTCGCGGACCCCCTAGGATTTTACTACGGACCACTAGGGGTCCGCGGACCCCCATTTGGGAACCGTTGGTCTAGTCTATAGTCTAGTCAATAGTCTAGTCAATAGTCTAGTCTATAGTCTAGTCTATAGTCTAGTCTATAGTCTAGTCTATAGTCTAGTCTATAGTCTAGTCTATGGTCTAGTCTATAGTCTGGTCTATAGTCTAGTCTATACTCTAGTCTATAGTCTAGTCTATAGTCTAGTCTATACTCTAGTCTATAGTCTATTCTATAGTCTAGTCTATAGTCTAGACTATAGTCTAGTCTAGTCTATAGTCTAGTCTATAGTCTAGTCTATAGTCTAGTCTATAGTCTAGTCTATAGTCTAGTCTATAGTCTAGTCTATAGTCTAGTCTATAGTCTAGTCTATAGTCTAGTCTATAGTCTAGTCTATAGTCTAGTCTATAATCTAGTCTATAGTCTAGTCTATAGTCTAGTCTGTAGTCTAGTCTATAGTCTAGTCTATAGTCTAGTCTATAGTCTAGTCTATAGTCTAGTCTATAGTCTAGTCTATAGTCTAGTCTATAGTCTAGTCTATAGTCCAGTCTATAGTCTAGTCTATAGTCCAGTCTATAGTCTAGTCTATAGTCTAGTCTATAGTCTAGTCTATAGTCTAGTCTATAGTCTAGTCTATAGTCTAGTCTATAATCTAGTCTATAGTCTAGTCTATAGTCTAGTCTGTAGTCTAGTCTATAGTCTAATCTATAGTCTAGTCTATAGTCTAGTCTATAGTCTAGTCTATAGTCTTGCCTATAGTCTAGTCTCTAGTCTAGTCTATAGTCTAGTCTATAGTCTAGTCTATTGTCTAGTCTATAATCTAGTCTATAGTTTAGTCTATAGTCTAGTCTATAGTCTATTCTATAGTCTAGTCTATAGTCTAGTCTAGTCTAGTCTATAGTCTAGTCTATAGTCTAGTCTATAGTCTAGTCTATAGTCTACTCTATAGTCTACTCTATAGTCTAGTTTATAGTCTAGTCCAGTCTATAGTCTAGTCTATAGTGTAGTCTGTAGTCTATTCTATAGTCTAGTCTATAGTCTAGTCTATAGTCTAGTCTATAGTCTAGTCTATAGTCTAGTCTATAGTCTAGTCGATAGTCTAGTCTATAATCTAGTCTATAATCTAATTTATAATCTAGTCTATAGTCTAGTCTATTGTCTAGTATATAGTCTATTCTATAGTCCAGTCTATAGTCCAGTCTATAGTCTAGTCTATAGTCTTCGATATCGCGAAAAAACGATATCTCGTCTCGACCTTTGACCTCATGAATTCATTATTTTATATACCTCCCTCGTAAGTATTTCTATTTACTTTAATATCCTTTCAAATGATTAGAAATATCAGCGCCAAATGTTTCTTACATTATTTTGTTTCTTCCATCATTTATTACTCACTGCCAATGGAACCCAAAATTTGTACAAATTATTGTTCTGACAATCTAATTAGTATTCTGGTTGTAGGCCACATACTGGCACTAGAATACATCACAAAACAACATATTCAACTGATTGTGAACAATTTGAGTAACAAGACAAGACCAAAATTGTGTCATGGTTACACTAAATCTGAAGGCATTTAGAAAATAACTATAACAGGAATTTGAAAGTTTTAGAAATTTAAAGAAAATATGTTTTGTTAAATGATAATTTTACAAAACTGTAAGTTTTGTTAAATAATTTGCAATGACATATTGAATCTTAATATTGAAGGCCTTAAAACTTGTCAGCTCCTGTAGTATTTCAGTGTTGATTTTGTTTATATTAGAAGACAAAGTGTGGCAAGGAATATTGTATTTGTGTTCCTAAGAAAAGATAATGAAGATGATCAATCCGTACTTTAAAGTGGAGTGGTGTCAATAGTAGTTGTATTTCATAAGAAGCTTCTAAATACAAATTGAACTAGAAAAAGCTTACTTACTTTTAAAAACTCTATAGTGTATTTTAACAGTCGTTTTTGCCTGTACTCTATATTATTTCCCTAATGAGCAGGAAAGACATTTTAGACATGCTCAACAACAATAAAAACAAAAATCTCCAAAAAATACAAAAAGCCACACAAAAACTAAAATATTGTATCAAAATTCGTAATGAATCTTATTAAGTTGTGGTCATTAAATAATAATGTTGTGCCAACATCTAAAATTATCTAAATACCTCAAAATAAACAAATAGACAGTCAGACAGACAGACAATTACCAAAAGAGCTAATGTATAGCAAACTATACAAGACAAATAAATGAAAATAAAATTTTCATATAAAAGCTGTTGATGATTCAAGGTAATTAAACAGTAACAATAGAACTTTGTTTAAGACAGCATCTTTTCAGCAACAACAGCTCCATAATACATCCAAAGAAATATTCCCCAAAGAGAAATAATACGTAAAACATTAATAGCAGCAACATGTTTAAGTTTGTAAGTACACGAATGTATCCTTCCTTGAAATGTTGAATACCAGTCGAAAGCTATTGAAATGTAATAAATTTCTTTAATTAAATACACGTTCTTACTCTCTTTCTCCTTCTTCACTTCTCTTTAACTTAATCCCTCCTCTCCTAGTTGCCTTTGTGCTTAATATCTCTAATTGCTTTGGTGGCTAGCAGACCCAGTGTTTTAGAATCTCATCATGCCGCCTACTCACCGTATCATCATACACCTCTGCTGACATCCTCTCCTTATTCCGCTCTTGATGCTGGTGTTGCTGCTTATCCTCACGGTGGATTTGTTTCACCTTTATATGGCTCTCATTTGTCTCATGTTCCTCACCATATCTCACCATATGTTGGCTCCTCTTCGCCCTATATTGGTGGTCATCATTATGGTTTACATCCCTACGATTCGTTGTTTCTAAGACATTAAAAGGTATTTAGTGCCTTTAATGAGGGCAATGAGGCAGTATATTGCTGGCAATGTCGAGTGGAGAATTATGTTGAGTATTATTGTAAAGTACTTAAGTTAACGTTTTAAATGTTTGTAATAAATTACCAAATTTAAATTGAGGATATAAATTAAATGGAGAGTATTTTTGAGATATATTTAGATTAGGAAGAAAGTAGACATTTTAAGAAAACTGTTTGATTTAATAGTAATTATTATATCTTATTATAGACTTGACTAGACTAAAACCTAGACTATAGGCTAGACTATAGGCTAGACTATAGACTAGACTATAGACTAGACATAGACTAGACTATACTAGACTAGACTATAGACTAGACTATAGACTAGACTATAGACTAGACTATAGACTAGACTATAGACTAGACTATAGACTAGACTATAGACTAGACTATAGACTAGACTATAGACTAGACTATAGACTAGACTATAGACTAGACTATAGACTAGACTATAGACTAGACTATAGACTAGACTATAGACTATACTATAACTAGACTATAGTCTATAGACTATAGACTAGACTATAGACTAGACTATAGACTAGACTATAGACTAGACTATAGACTAGACTATAGACTAGACTATAGACTAGACTATAGACTAGACTATAGACTAGACTATAGACTAGACTATAGACTAGACTATAGACTAGACTATAGACTAGACTATAGACTAGACTATAGACTAGACTATAGACTAGACTATAGACTAGACTATAGACTAGACTATAGACTAGACTATAGACTAGACTATAGACTAGACTATAGACTAGACTATAGACTAGACTATAGACAAGACTATAGACTAGACTATAGACTAGACTATAGACTAGACTATAGACTAGACTATAGACTAGACTATAGACTAGACTATAGACTAGACTATAGACTATAGACTAGACTATAGACTAGACTATAGACTAGACTATAGACTAGACTATAGACTAGACTATAGACTAGACTAGACTATAGACTAGACCATAGACTGGACTATAGACTAGATTATAGACTAGACTATAGACTAGATTATAGACTAGACTATAGACTAGACTATAGACTAGACTATAGACTAGACTATAGATTAGACTATAGACTAGACTATGGACTAGACTATAGACTAGACTATAGACTAGACTATAGACTAGACTATAGACTAGACTATAGACTAGACTATAGACTAGACTATAGACTAGACTATAGACTAGACTATAGACTAGACTATAGACTAGACTATAGACTAGACTATAGACTAGACTATGGACTAGACTATAGACTAGACTATAGACTAGACTATAGACTAGACTATAGACTAGACTATAGACTAGACTATAGACTAGACTATAGACTAGACTATAGACTAGACTATAGATTAGACTATAGACTAGACTATAGACTAGACTATAGACTAGACTATAGACTAGACTATAGACTAGACTATAGACTAGACTAGAGTATAGACTAGACTATAGACTAGACTAGAGTATAGACTAGACTATAGACTAGACTATAGACTAGACTATAGACTAGACTATAGACTGGACTATAGACTAGGCTATAGATTCGACTATAGACTAGACTATAGATTAGACTATAGACGAGACTATAGACTAGACTATAGACTAGACTGTAGACTATAGACTAAATTCAAGACTGGACTATAGACTGAACTATAAACTAAGCTATAGAATAAGCTATTGACTAGACTATAGACTAGACTATAGACTAGACTATAGACTAGACTATAGACTAGACTATAGACTAGACTATAGACTAGACTATAGACTAGACTAGAGTATAGACTAGACTATAGACTAGACTATAGACTAGACTATAGACTAGACTATAGACTAGACTATAGACTAGACTATAGACTGGACTATAGACTAGGCTATAGATTCGACTATAGACTAGACTATAGATTAGACTATAGACGAGACTATAGACTAGACTATAGACTAGACTGTAGACTATAGACTAAATTCAAGACTGGACTATAGACTGAACTATAAACTAAGCTATAGAATAAGCTATTGACTAGGATATAGACTAGACTATAGACTAGACTATAGCCTAGACTATAGACTAGACTATAGCCTATACTATAGACTAAACTATAGACTAGATTCTAGACTAGTATAGGCAATTATACTATAGACTGGGCTATAAACTAGGCTATAAACTTGAGTTAGCCAATACTCTAAACTATTGACTATAATATAGACTACTTTTGAATAGACTTTAGACTAGACCATAAACTAACCAATCCACCACAGAATAGAAAATGGACTAGATTGGACTATATAACATACTAGACTATGGAATAGACTAGAATTTAGTCCAAATTAGAAAGTAACCTTCAGACTATAGATCATGTAAATATGCATATGTAAACTATGAATAATTCATTGTTCAAACATTTTCATGTGAAGAAACAAAACATTTATAATTGAAACAAATCCTCCCCATCTTATCCAGCCTCCTGTCAGTTAACCAGTCTGTCTGTCAGTCCTCCATACATAAATTTTTTTGGTCAGTCAATTACAAATGTACACAACAAAATTCTTGTGCAAAACTACAGATATACATACCTACAAACATATTTATTGCATGTTTACCAAATGACCACAAATCTGCAACATCCTGCTGATGAAATCTAGACCTGAAAACTCACATACAAACATCAAGAGACTAGGATAATACTACAAAACCTACAAAAAATTGCTCAAACATAGCAACCAAACCAGGAAATACTAAGTATGACAACAAGTACATACTAGAAAAAATTAGGAAACAAGAGAAACTCTCTCAGCCAATAAGTCATTAATTTAAAGCCACTGCTATTTACAGCAAACTTCAATTGGGGAATACAAAAAATAAAGACGCAGAAAAGTAACTACATTAGCAGTTTCTACTCATTGACATACAACTTTTAAAAAAGTTTAATTAATACTGATTTTGTTATTAGCAAAATTTAAAACTTTTGTTTTTTTGACCCCTCACCATCCACTTATTTCCTTTGTAGCTTGTTCTTTTGTTTTCCATAATCGAGTTAAAATATTTCTGTACTCATTTCAATTTCCGTTTGTCCGCACTTCCATCTTTTATACTTTTATTCTTTTGTCTACAACTGAAATTTGTTGCTTTTTTCTCTTAATTTAAATTGAAATTTAATGAAGGAGTGTCTGAAAGTGACTTTAGAAACAAAAAAGTATTTTTATTCCCAGTTTTACAAGAACATCCTTTAGAAATTGTTGCTTCACTCTATAGACTTACATACATATATTTTTCCTTTTCTGCTTTTCCATTTTTTGTGTCTGGATATTTTTTTTGCATTATTTCCGTTTTTGAACTCGTTGTAAGTATTGCCTAACAGGCACAACATTAAAGTTTTAATAAGACTGAGGCATTTCTTTTGAAGAGAAAAAATCGGTAAATACAATTTTTTGTTCTAGGCCAAAATACCTTTGAACTACTATTTTAAGTTACAATGAATTACGTTTGGGGGATTTTGCTAGTCTCTGTCTGTGCAGTAGTACATAAATAGTGCACTTAATAAGATTGCATGGAACGAACAGTTTCTACCGAGTAAATAAAGTTCATGTGATTAAATTATAGTGTTCTTTGTATGGTTTCCTTTTGGAGTTTATATAAGACACGGCTTATTCTATTTCGATATTTAGTGTTTTTATCCAGAAAACATTTAAGTTTGATGCTTATTTGAGAGTGATTGGAAATCACAGTTCAGACTATTGATTAGCCTATATTCCACACTACAGATTAGATTGTCTATCAGACCAAAGTCCAGTTTGTATACTAGTCCATAGTCCAATATAGTACAGAGTATAGGCTAGACTATGGTCCAGACTAAATACTATGATCCAGAATATATACTTGACTCTAGTCCAGAATGTGGACTGGACTATAGTCCAGACTATAGACTAGACTGTGGACTGGACTATAGTCCATACTATGGACAAGACTATAGACCAGACTATAGACTAGATTATGAGTAGACTATAGTCGAGACCATAGATTAGACTATAGAATAGGCTATAGTCCAGACCAAAGAATAGTCTATAGACTAGACATTAATCCAGAGTATAGACTAGACTATAGACTAGGCTATAGTCCAGACTATACACTAGACTATAGACTATAGACTAGACTATAGACTAGACTATAGACTAGACTATAGACTAGACTATAGACTAGACTATAGACTAGACTATAGACTAGACTATAGACTAGACTATAGACTAGACTATAGACCAGACTATAGACTAGACTATAGACTAGACTATAGACCAGACTATAGACTAGACTATAGACTAGACTATAGACTAGACTATAGACTAACCTATAGACTAGACTATAGACTAGACTATAGACTAGACTATAGACTAGACTATAGACTAGACTATAGACTAGACTATAGACTAGACTATAGACTAGACTATAGACTAGACTATAGACTAGACTATAGACTAGACTATAGACTAGACTATAGACTAGACTATAGACTAGACTATAGACTAGACTATAGACTAGACTATAGACTAGACTATAGACTAGACTATAGACTAGACTATAGACTAGACTATAGACTAGACTATAGACTAGACTATAGACTAGACTATAGACTAGACTATAGACTAGACTATAGACTAGACTATAGACTAGACTATAGACTAGACTATAGACTAGACTATAGACTAGACTATAGACTAGACTATAGACTAGACTATAGACTAGACTATAGACTAGACTATAGACTAGACTATAGACTAGACTATAGACTAGACTATAGACTAGACTATAGACTAGACTATAGACTAGACTATAGGCTAGACTATAGACTAGACTATAGACTAGACTATAGACTAGACTATAGACTAGACTATAGACTAGACTATAGACTAGACTATAGACTAGACTATAGACTAGACTATAGACTAGACTATAGACTAGACTATAGACTAGACTATAGACTAGACTATAGACTAGACTATAGACTAGACTACTAGACTATACTAGACTATAGACTAGACTATAGACTAGACTATAGACTAGACTATAGACTAGACTATAGACTAGACTATAGACTAGACTATAGACTAGACTATAGACTAGACTATGACTAGACTATAGACTAGACTATAGATCGATTATAGACTAGACCTATAGACTAGACTATGACTAGACTAGAGACTAGATAGACTAGGACTATAGACCTAGACTATAGACTAGACTAGATCTAGACTATAGACTAGACTATAGCCCTAGACTATAGACTAGACTATAGACTAGACTATAGACTAGGCTAAGAACTATAGACCTAGACTATAGATAGACTATAGACTAGACTATAAGGACTAGACTATAGACTAGACTATAGACTAGACTATAGAACTAGACTATAGACTAAGACTATAGACTAGACATAAGACTAGACTATAGACCTAGACTATAGACTAGGACTATAGACTAGACTATAGATGACTATAGGCTAGACTATAGACTAGACTAGAGACTAGACTTATAAGACTAGACTATAGACTAAGACTATAGACCTAGACTATAGACTAGACTATAGACTAGACTATAGGACTAGACTATAGACTAGACCTATAGACTAGACTATAGACTAGACTATAGGACTAGACTATAGGACTAGGACTATAGACTAGACTATAGGACTATACTATAGACTAGACTAGACTAGACTAGACTATAGACTAGACTATAGACTAGACTATAGACTAGACTATAGACTAGACTATAGACTAGACTATAGACTAGACTATAGACTAGACTATAGACTAGACTATAGACTAGACTATAGACTAGACTATAGACTAGACTATAGACTAGACTATACTAGACTATAGACTAGACTAAGACTAGACTATAGACTAGACTATAGACTAGACTATAGACTAGACTATAGACTAGACTAAAGACTAGACTATAGACTAGACTATAGACTAGACTATAGACTAGACTATAGACTTGACTAAAGACTAGACTATAGACTAGACTATAGACTAGACTATAGACTAGACTAAAGACTAGACTATAGACTAGACTATAGACTAGACTATAGACTATACTATAGACTAGACTATAGACTAGACTATAGACTAGACTATAGACTAGACTATAGACTAGACTATAGACTAGACTATAGACTAGACTATAGACTAGACTATAGACTAGACTAAAGACTAGACTAGACTAGACTAGACTAGACTATAGGACAGACTATAGGCTAGACTATAGATTAGACTATAGATTAGACTATAGACTTGACTATAGGACAGACTATAGGCTAGACTATAGACTAGACTATAGACTAGACTATATACTAGGCTATAGGCCAGACAATAGGCCAGACTATAGACTACACTATAGTCCAAACTGCAGACTAGACTATAGTCCTGCTGTGAGCTAGACTATAGTCAATATTGTAGACCAGACTATAGTCCAGACCGCAGACTAGACTATAGTCCAGATTATATTTTTTTTTCTTTTGTTAATAAAAAACACATTTTCAGATTTTCAACAAATAACTTTTAACATTTTTTTATTTAATCTTTTTTTCGTTTTCTCTGTCTATTAAAACCTTTTAACAAAAAAAAACAATTACACAACAATTATGAAAAAATTCTTAAATTCTCGTTAAATAAACACAACATTTACTTGCGCAACAAGTATGAAGCAGCATAAGGATAAGTAGAGTAAGCAGCAGTGTAAGGAGAAGCTACATAAGAAGCAGCATAAGGATAATCATAATAACCAGAATAGGCAGCAGCATAGGGTGAAGTATAGGCGGCTGTATAGGCAGCAGTATAGGGTGAGGAATAGGCAACAATATCAGGTTTAGCAGCAGCCAAGGCAACAACAGCCATTAAACACAAAGCAAACTTTAAATAGAGATAGAAAAAAATATTAAATAAATTGATTATTATTTTTTTGTATAGATTTTTTGTTTGTTTCAAAAACAAAAATCCTTTAGACTGAAACTAATTTAATTTCCAACAATTTATTTACAAATAATTTAATAACAACTACTTACGAATTTGAACATTTTGTTTATTTTTGTTTTTAAGGGTGGTTTTGTGGTTTGTTTTATTAAATGATTTAATTAAACTGATAACAAATAATTAAAAACTATTGGTATTTATAGTTAAAATAAATAAATATTTTTCTATATTTTTGTTGTTGTAATTAAATATTCTAGGCCTAAAATAGTCTATCTATGTGAGTGTGTGTGGGAGGTTGCAAGTAAACAATTTATTTTATGGTTGTTATTATTAAACGTTTTATATTTTTCATATTATGCAAGGTGTTACTAGAATTTTAAATTTGAAAAACGTTTATAATTTGTATAATGGTTAAAACACATACATTTACAAAAAACACTAAAATGGACAGTTTATGTGCTGAAACTGTCATAGTCATATTTTAGTGTTTATGACAGTACGTGTGTGATAATATTTATATGAAATGCTTTAGGGCCAAATTTGTTTGCTCAAAGCCTTCAGCTGCTAATTATCGGTAGACATTAGGGCGGCAAATCTTAATTGAAAACTGTAAATTATTGATCTCAGTTTCAACTATAGATTGGTGCTATAGTCTAGTGTATAGTTTAGTCTAAAGTGTAGTCTATAGTCTACAATGTACTATATAGTCTAGTCTATAGTCTAGTCTATAGTCTAGTCTATAGTCTAGTCTATAGTCTAGTCTATAGTCTAGTCTATAGTCTAGTCTATAGTCTAGTCTATAGTCTAGTCTATAGTCTAGTCTATAGTCTAGTCTATAGTCTAGTCTTTAGTCTAGTCTATAGTCTAGTCTATAGTCTAGTCTATAGTCTAGTCTATAGTCTAGTCTATAGTCTAGTCTATAGTCTAGTCTATAGTCTAGTCTATAGTCTAGTCTATAGTCTAGTCTATAGTCTAGTCTATAGTCTAGTCTATAGTCTAGTCTATAGTCTAGTCTAGTCTATAGTCTAGTCTAGTCTATAGTCTAGTCTAGTCTATAGTCTAGTCTAGTCTATAGTCTAGTCTAGTCTATAGTCTAGTCTATAGTCTAGTCTATAGTCTAGTCTATAGTCTAGTCTATAGTCTAGTCTATAGTCTAGTCTATAGTCTAGTCTATAGTCTAGTCTATAGTCTAGTCTATAGTCTAGTCTATAGTCTAGTCTATAGTCTAGTCTATAGTCTAGTCTATAGTCTAGTCTATAGTCTAGTCTATAGTCTAGTCTATAGTCTAGTCTATAGTCTAGTCTAGTCTATAGTCTAGTCTATAGTCTAGTCTATAGTCTAGTCTATAGTCTAGTCTATAGTCTAGTCTAGTCTATAGTCTAGTCTATAGTCTAGTCTAGTCTATAGTCTAGTCTATAGTCTAGTCTATAGTCTAGTCTATAGTCTAGTCTATAGTCTAGTCTATAGTCTAGTCTATAGTCTAGTCTATAGTCTAGTCTATAGTCTAGTCTATAGTCTAGTCTATAGTCTAGTCTATAGTCTAGTCTATAGTCTAGTCTATAGTCTAGTCTATAGTCTAGTCTATAGTCTAGTCTATAGTCTAGTCTATAGTCTAGTCTATAGTCTAGTCTATAGTCTAGTCTATAGTCTAGTCTATAGTCTAGTCTATAGTCTAGTCTATAGTCTAGTCTATAGTCTAGTCTATAGTCTAGTCTATAGTCTAGTCTATAGTCTAGTCTATAGTCTAGTCTATAGTCTAGTCTATAGTCTAGTCTATAGTCTAGTCTATAGTCTAGTCTATAGTCTAGTCTATAGTCTAGTCTATAGTCTAGTCTAGTCTATAGTCTAGTCTAAAGTCTAGTCTATAGTCTAGTCTATAGTCTAGTCTATAGTCTAGTCTATAGTCTAGTCTATAGTCTAGTCTATAGTCTAGTCTAAAGTCTAGTCTATAGTCTAGTCTATAGTCTAGTCTAGTCTATAGTCTAGTCTAGTCTATAGTCTAGTCTAGTCTATAGTCTAGTCTAGTCTATAGTCTAGTCTATAGTCTAGTCTATAGTCTAGTCTATAGTCTAGTCTATAGTCTAGTCTATAGTCTAGTCTATAGTCTAGTCTATAGTCTAGTCTATAGTCTAGTCTATAGTCTAGTCTATAGTCTAGTCTATAGTCTAGTAGTCTATAGTCTAGTCTATAGTCTAGTCTATAGTCTAGTCTAGTCTATAGTCTAGTCTATAGTCTAGTCTATAGTCTAGTCTATAGTCTAGTCTATAGTCTAGTCTATAGTCTAGTCTATAGTCTAGTCTATAGTCTAGTCTAGTCTATAGTCTAGTCTATAGTCTAGTCTATAGTCTAGTCTATAGTCTAGTCTATAGTCTAGTCTATAGTCTAGTCTATAGTCTAGTCTATAGTCTAGTCTATAGTCTAGTCTATAGTCTAGTCTATAGTCTAGTCTATAGTCTAGTCTATAGTCTAGTCTATAGTCTAGTCTATAGTCTAGTCTATAGTCTAGTCTATAGTCTAGTCTATAGTCTAGTCTATAGTCTAGTCTATAGTCTAGTCTATAGTCTAGTCTATAGTCTAGTCTATAGTCTAGTCTATAGTCTAGTCTATAGTCTAGTCTATAGTCTAGTCTATAGTCTAGTCTATAGTCTAGTCTATAGTCTAGTCTATAGTCTAGTCTATAGTCTAGTCTATAGTCTAGTCTATAGTCTAGTCTATAGTCTAGTCTATAGTCTAGTCTATAGTCTAGTCTATAGTCTAGTCTATAGTCTAGTCTATAGTCTAGTCTATAGTCTAGTCTATAGTCTAGTCTATAGTCTAGTCTATAGTCTAGTCTATAGTCTAGTCTATAGTCTAGTCTATAGTCTAGTCTATAGTCTAGTCTATAGTCTAGTCTAGTCTATAGTCTAGTCTATAGTCTAGTCTATAGTCTAGTCTATAGTCTAGTCTATAGTCTAGTCTATAGTCTAGTCTATAGTCTAGTCTATAGTCTAGTCTATAGTCTTGTCTATAGTCTAGTCTATAGTCCAGTCTATAGTCTAGTCTATAGTCTAGTCTATAGTCCAGTCTATAGTCTAGTCTATAGTCTAGTCTATAGTCTAGTCTATAGTCTAGTCTATAGTCTAGTCTATAGTCTAGTCTATAGTCTAGTCTATAGTCTAGTCTATAGTCTAGTCTATAGTCTAGTCTATAGTCTAGTCTATAGTCTAGTCTATAGTCTAGTCTATAGTCTAGTCTATAGTCTAGTCTATAGTCTAGTCTATAGTCTAGTCTATAGTCTAGTCTATAGTCTAGTCTATAGTCTAGTCTATAGTCTAGTCTATAGTCTAGTCTATAGTCTAGTCTATAGTCTAGACTATAGTCTAGTCTATAGTCTAGCCTATAGTCTAGTCTATAGTCTAGACTATAGTCTAGTCTATAGTCTAGTCTATAGTCTAGTCTATAGTCTAGTCTATAGTCTAGTCTATAGTCTAGTCTATAGTCTAGTCTATAGTCTAGTCTATAGTCTAGTCTATAGTCTAGTCTATAGTCTAGACTATAGTCTAGTCTATAGTCTAGCCTATAGTCTAGTCTATAGTCTAGCCTATAGTCTAGTCTATAGTCTAGTCTATAGTCTAGCCTATAGTCTAGTCTATAGTCTAGTCTATAGTCTAGCCTATAGTCTAGTCTATAGTCTAGTCTATAGTCTAGTCTATAGTCTAGTCTATAGTCTAGTCTATAGTCTAGTCTATAGTCTAGTCTATAGTCTAGTCTATAGTCTAGTCTATAGTCTAGTCTATAGTCTAGTCTATAGTCTAGTCTATAGTCTAGTCTATAGTCTAGTCTATAGTCTAGTCTATAGTCTAGTCTATAGTCTAGTCTATAGTCTAGTCTATAGTCTAGTCTAGTTTAGTCTATAGTCTAGTCTATTGTCTAGTCTATAGTCTAGTCTATAGTCTAGTCTATAGTCTAGTCTATAGTCTAGTCTATAGTCTAGTCTATAGTCTAGTCTATAGTCTAGTCTATAGTCTAGTCTATAGTCTAGTCTATAGTCTAGTCTATAGTCTAGTCTATAGTCTAGTCTATAGTCTAGTCTATAGTCTAGTCTATAGTCTAGTCTATAGTCTAGTCTATAGTCTAGTCTATAGTCTAGTCTATAGTCTAGTCTATAGTCTAGTCTATAGTCTAGTCTATAGTCTAGTCTATAGTCTAGTCTATAGTCTAGTCTATAGTCTAGTCTATAGTCTAGTCTATAGTCTAGTCTATAGTCTAGTCTATAGTCTAGTCTATAGTCTAGTCTATAGTCTAGTCTATAGTCTAGTCTATAGTCTAGTCTATAGTCTAGTCTATAGTCTAGTCTATAGTCTAGTCTATAGACTAGACTATAGACTAGACTATAGACTAGACTATAGACTAGACTATAGACTAGACTATAGACTAGACTATAGACTAGTCTATAGTCTAGTCTATAGTCTAGTCTATAGTCTAGTCTATAGTCTAGTCTATAGTCTAGTCTATAGTCTAGTCTATAGTCTAGTCTATAGTCTAGTCTATAGTCTAGTCTATAGTCTAGTCTATAGTCTAGTCTATAGTCTAGTCTATAGTCTAGTCTATAGTCTAGTCTATAGTCTAGTCTATAGTCTAGTCTATAGTCTAGTCTATAGTCTAGTCTATAGTTAGTCTATAGTCTAGTCTATAGTCTAGTCTATAGTCTAGTCTATAGTCTAGTCTATAGTCTAGTCTATAGTCTAGTCTATAGTCTAGTCTATAGTCTAGTCTATAGTCTAGTCTATAGTCTAGTCTATAGTCTAGTCTATAGTCTAGTCTATAGTCTAGTCTATAGTCTAGTCTATAGTCTAGTCTATAGTCTAGTCTATAGTCTAGTCTATAGTCTAGTCTATAGTCTAGTCTATAGTCTAGTCTATAGTCTAGTCTATAGTCTAGTCTATAGTCTAGTCTATAGTCTAGTCTATAGTCTAGTCTATAGTCTAGTCTATAGTCTAGTCTATAGTCTAGTCTATAGTCTAGTCTATAGTCTAGTCTATAGTCTAGTCTATAGTCTAGTCTATAGTCTAGTCTATAGTCTAGTCTATAGTCTAGTCTATAGTCTAGTCTATAGTCTAGTCTATAGTCTAGTCTATAGTCTAGTCTATAGTCTAGTCTATAGTCTAGTCTATAGTC